CTCACACACACACACACACACACACACACACACACAACAACACACACACACACACACACACACACACACACACAAGGTGGACGGGCGAACCCCACATAACCCAAAATCTAACGTCGTGTCACCCCCGACTGCGCGCATACCGGATTCTACTTACCCCGGAGACGTCACCATCACAAAAAACACACTCTTCCGTGATGAGGACGGGGACGACCGACACCTTTTTCCCATTGTGACTCTCCTTACGACGCCGACAACATTTCTAACATTTCGGCAAGGATACAAGTCGAATCGTGGACGTGTGTTTGTTTTCGCATTAAATTTCCGAGGGATTCAATCATTGAACCACACAGAAACCAAGGCGAGGCGTGAGGGACAAAGACATCCAATAATTTTGCCACAGAAACGAATTCCAGATCCAACCGAACCTGAGCAAAAGATTTTATTATATCTCTTATTGCCGTCAGTGGGTTTCTCCGAAATTTAACGAAAAATATTTTAGTTTAAGATGTCGTAGAACCAAATCCTACTCTTGATTTGCTGTTGTAGCCTAACGTGTCTATACTTTGGACAAATTGCCTGACGTCAAACCTTTTGGGTGGGCTCCGTCTAACCGGTAGGTCACTAAGCACAAAGTTTGTAGTCGGTTTAGTCGAAAGAAAGTCATCGGGACAATATGGTCCGTGCAACCCCGTTGACACATTCAACTATTTATATGTATATTTCGTTTATCACCTATTCAGGCTCGAACAACACACCGTCAGGGTTATCAGGATCGTAACTCATCGTATCACAAAATAAGGGTAAATACGAGACATCTGGGAGTACACACACACACACACACACACACACACACACACACACACACACACACACACACACACACACACACACTTGTTTTCTCAGTACTGAGAGGAAGAAGTGGAGTGTGTGTGTGTGTGTGTGTGTGTGTGTGTGTGTGTGTGTGTGTGTGTGTGTGTGTGTGTGTGTGTGTGAGTGTGTGTGTGCCTGTGTTTGAGAGAGAGAGAGTGTGTGTGTGTGTGTGTGTGTGTGTGTGTGTGTGTGTGTGTGTGTGTGTGTGTGTGTGTGTGTGTGTGTGTGTGTGTGTGTGTGTGTGTGTGTGTGTGTGTAAAAGCCTGAGTCATCCTCAGTCTGCTTCCCTGCATTCAGCTGGCAGACTCACACAGCTCACTGTGAGTCTGCAGATATCAGACAACCTGATAGCATGGTTATACTTTTTAAAGGATGCAACAGCCTAATTTAATTCAATTTAATTCAATTTTTGATTTCTGTCAAATCATGTTTCAGAAAAGTTATCTGTGATGCAATCAAATGTGTGCATGTATCATGTTCCCCAATTGCTAGGTGATGACCATATATGGGCAGGACAAGGCTTGGGAAAACATAGTAATGACAATATCACAATAATCCTGGCCAACATAATTGTGATTCCCGTGTGGACAGGCATGTTCTTGAGCCTTCCTGACCTGAGGATAAATACCACAGTGTGCGTGTGTGTGTGTGGGTGCGTGCGTGCGTGCGTGTGTTGGGTTTTGGTACTGACCAGTCCGGTGAGTGACGGAGCAGACTGTCCCAGGCTTTGGCTCCTCATGCGGACCAGGTTGTTCCCATCTCCTGCAGACGGACCCCCGGTGGCCCCGTGCCCTATAAATGCTCCTGAGGGCCCCAGCCAGGCCATCTGACTGACCCCGGCGTGCAGACTGCTGGACAGAGGCAGCAGCTGCTTACCTGTGGGGGGTGGGGGGGGGGGGCAGAAGGGAGAGACTCATCTCAATAAGCTTTTCTGTTGGAAAGAATTGGTGCCTGTCAATGTGTACAGGAACATTTCAATATCCCAGACAAATCTTAAAGAATTCTAGCCAAATATTGTAAGTGTTATTATTGTATTATTGTGCTTAGACAATTGATATCTCAGACAATTGATATCTCAGTTCATAAATGAATTACAAACTTCGTAAACCCTTTATAAGGGTAGTCTCATTGTAAAGTGGTACCAAATAATGTATAAGGACATTGAAGACCATTGAGAAATGTCCTCGCAGTGATGGCATATCGTTGCACACTTGTAGCATCGATGAGAGAGGCTGGTGCTGACTTGTCTATTCAAACCTTTCTTTAGTACACTTCAAATTGTGCTTAGGATAAATGAGTTGCAGCTGACATTATGACCAGAGAGATGTCACTTTGATTTTCCGTCAAGGTCTGGTCAATATTGAACAATGAAAACTCTCAAACCCAGCTGAGCTTTCATCAGTAACACATGGAGACACAGAGTCCCCTCAGAGATGTCTGCGTCTCACTTAACTTAAGTGATTCATAGAAATGTTGTCTCCACCCTGAATAACTGGATGAGAATCAAACTAGCTCAATCTTAGCTCACATTAATCATTTCCAATGTCAATTTACTAAACCCAAAAGACAACAACACAAACCAGTCCCTGTGAAAAGGTGATAGAAAACCAACAGTTCACTCTGCACTGCTGCTTCACATGGGATTCATGTTTCCAAATGACCTCTGATGGAAACATGGCGTTTCATCTGTGGTGGATGGCAGATTGGCGCTGGATTAAAAACACGAGAGATCACAAATCACAGAAAGATCTCAGGTAACTCTGACCCCATGTGGGTTGATCGTCACAAACTACACCAGCTTTTTTTATTTGGTCAGAATCTGTAGGATATCATTGACATCTCGCACCATGAAGTGTTTTAAAACAGAGCAGGACATCTTGATTTTTGAAACATGTAATGATATGGTTCTGTTACCGGTCATGGCCAGGCTGCTGCGTCGGCCCCAGCTCTCGTCCTGGCTCAGCTGGCGGTGCAGTTTGGATTTGGTGGCAGCGGTGGCTGCGGGGGAAAGGTCGGGGTTACTCATCTTCCTGAAGAGGAGAGGAGGAGGAGGTACAAACTCCTTCTGGAAAGACGAAGGAGAGAGAGGATCAAAAAGAAGAAAACTGATAAGACTTTGTTCACATGTAATGGCATGTAATGTCAAAATGTTCATACTGTCCACAAATGATCCTTCATCTAGGTCGCACATCAAAACCAACAACTGTCTGTCATATTATATGTTTAGGTATATAGCCCCTATAATAAAAAGCCTTTCGGTAAAAGATATTGTGAATGGGGGAAATAAGATTTGTTTTTGAGAAGGGCCTTGTTACAAATGTATCAAGAAAAACGTACTCTAGATCCTTAACCTGGTTTAAAGTAAAGAAGAGAAATATCCGAGGACCAGCATGCAGACAGTGTGGGGTCCCTGCCCTGAGCGGGCTGAGAGCCAAAACAAAGTCATAAAACACAACGCTCACCACGTCTCCTTCAACACCAACACAAACACACCTGTTTTCATGCAACAGGAGCAGTCAGCGGTGTAAGAGGCACTCGGCTCTGTCATTAACCCACACCTTCGGCCACCGAGCAGCAGCAGAGCGACAGAGAGACTGATATATAATTCACTTTGTCAGTGGTATAAGGGAAGAGTTCCTCTTGACTTCCTTGATATTCCCAAAGCTCTCCTAAGGGAATCTCCAGAGAGAATACGGTCCAGCCGTCACACAAACACGCTGGTTATTATTTGCCTTGGGAAACACATTTTTGATTATCACTTGCGGGGACCAGCCTTTCTCGAGGCCCTAGAGAGGTACACAAAAATATTCGGTACGTTTTCCAAAGCTTAGTCAAATAATAAAGTGTTTAAAAACCTGGAATGATGAAGTAATGTTATCTGTATGCCTGCTGGACACACACACACACACAAATGCTCAAGGTCTCTGTGTGGGATTCTGGTTGAAATTATTTGGGAAACATCTGCTGTTTCCATGGAAACAAGGCCTGCCTGGGCTCTTATGCTCCTCTCTCTTGCCGACGGAGCAGCCCTTGACGAGAGTTTTCCAGAAACATCTGGACGGCTCACGTTAGCGCAAACTCACCCAAAAAAACGTTTCCAGATGGCTGCACGACACGGGAGAAAAAGCTTGAGTGAAAGCTTCCGTTACACTTGGCCAATAAAACCTGAACCAGCCCACACACACACACACACACACACACACACACACACACACACACACACACACACACACACACATAC